ACGAGCTGAGCCGAGCCTCTCACAAACAGCTTGTCCAGAGTTTTCTGGGTGGGTTTGTTTGGTTTGGACGCGGTCCTGCAACACACAGGCTTGTTACTGAAAATGCAGCAGCTTGGATGCTTTCAGTCCCACACTGTGTTCCTGGTTTTGTAAGGGTGGCAGTTAACTTGCGCAAACTGACTTCAGCACACACTATTGATTTGAAAATCCAGTTAAAGCCAGAATCTGTGTTGGACAGGGTTATGACCACAGCCTGCATGACTAACTGCTGCAGAGGATACTAACAGCTGAGTCAAGTTTTTATTGATTTTACTGCATTGTTCTTCATTTGATATATTGTAGATGTAAAGGGAAAGTAGAAAGAGCTTCCTCTTACAGTCTGACTGACCTGCACTTTAGCATTAGGAAAAAACACACTCACAGTGAGGCGGCACAGGCAGCAGAGGACACGCCGCCGTAGTAGAAACCGTCCTGACAAATCCGCTCTCTCAGGCCACCCGCCTTCCCCTTCCCCATGACTTTACTGGGCGCTCTTCCGGAAAACGACGACTGCAGCTCGGCCCTTTTTGAGCTCATCTTCTTATACTGGGCCTTGACATGATACTGGCAGTATGGGCACTCATACTGTGGAGGAGATGGAAGTTTAAGGCAACAGGATAATCATTCAGGTACAGAAAACACGATAGAACAGACTAACCATGTTAACTATCTGCGAGCATGGCTCTCCGTTCCTCTTCACACCCTTGCAGATACCGTAGTCCTGAGCTTCACCCATCAGCAGCACCTTCTGTGGGTGATCCACCGTCAGGCTCACCTGCACACATTCAACACAAGGTTTTATATTCTGGGAAGGAAATCAGCTTACAGTACAAAAAACTACAGACACTACAGACGTACATGATGGGTGTTAGCTACTGGAGGTGGGACTCACCAGACAGCCCATGATACGATACCATCATATCTATCACGATACTTTAATAATGCAATGTGCAGACTATTGTGCATTATTGCCTTTTATCACCTTTTTTCAATTGCAAATTGTATCCTCAAAGTTAGACTTTGCCCGTATCTGTTTTATCCAATGAGATAAAGTTTAGACATATGAGTTACATTTTGCAGTAAAATGTAACATTGTCAAACCTTTATATCACAGTGCCATTAATAGACGGACTGAGGATCTGTTTATCATTAGGTGTAAATGTTAATTTAAAGGTAAGAAAAAGGTTTGAGCCTCAGACCCTCAAGAAACATTTAAGTGGAGGCCTCAAGTGTGTCCAATATTCAACATATCAGACTGTCTTTCCTACTGGGAGCTGATTTTAAAGTACAAAATCACTGAGAATGAGAAAATAATTTTTCCTCAGACTCCACATTAGATTCATTTCAGACTTTCTGCTCACCCCGTCATATCCTTCTTTCTGCTTCATGGAGTTTGGGTTGAGGAGTCCGACTACTGTGCCCGTCTCAGTCTTCCAGTGCTCTTTGTGAACTTCACCAAACAGAAACAGAGACACAAACACTTCCAGGTTATGGAGGTCATTGAGTTTCCAGATGCTAAAGGTTTTGCCCTGCAGAGAAGAAAGTGCTCAATCAGGAATATTACAGGATAAATGTATTTATCATCCGCATAGAAATATCTTCTTAGTGCTACCACGAAGGTTTTTGACTTCCACAGGGAAAATAATAAATAAATAAAACAAATCCTAGCATCATATGCAAGCAATACTGAAATAGTTTGGTTTAATTAACTCCAACTTAAATATATTAAACACCAAAAATTCTTTGCCTCCTGTATATGCAGAACAATCCTACTTCTGTTCAAAGTCATCCCTAAAGGCTGGATTAAACTCATCCTTAACTACTCTTTTACAAAGAATTTTTATTCATTTCTTTTGTATATTTTTCTATGAAACTGTAACTGATGCTGCACAAACAAAGTCCACAAGGTCTGACTTACACTGCTGTTGCTTTGAGGCGTGGCTTTATTGACCAGCACAGCAAACGTCACCCAGTCGCTGTCTTCCAGCTTCTCCCGAGCCATACGCTCCGGTAACTGTGACAGTCGAATCAGACGGCGGTCAGCCATCTTACGGTCCATCTCGCTAGAAGAAACACGTGGCTTTCTGAGGAGACAAACAGAACCGAGCCAAAGACTTAAAAACACAGGAATGGGTAAAAACAAAACAAGAAAACCTGTCATCACTTCAGTGCTCTGACCTGAGCCGCAGTCCTGAATATTTCTCAAGAGCCACGTCTTTGGGAAGAGATGGATAAGAAGGAGCTTTAGGCTGCACTGCTGACGCAGCTGCTGCAGGTCTGCTATGGGACGCTGCAGGTGAG